AGGCGTTATCAGGAAGACAACTTCCCTACGGCCTTTACTGCCCCGCGTCATTAAGTGCTCTCAGTTCAGAAACAGTTCGGACAAACAACGACAACACTCACGCCACTTAGCTCGATCAGCCACCATCTCATCTAAAGTCTCCAGCCACTGACTCTGTGAGTCGCGAGGGCTCTAGCCCGGGAGACGAACGCGATCTACAGTGACCAACTCCCTCGTGAACGAACTCATTTGTATACGCCAGGTCATCATCTGTCCATCTCGCCCCGTGCACCAGTCGTCCGCAGCGTCGGCAAACAGTGTTCGGTGTGGCAAACCACTAGCTGGCATCCTTAGTACATGACCTAACCACCTAAGTCTGTGCAAATATAAGGATTGAATAAAAGAAATCGTTTGACAGTCACTACCAAATACCCGCTTCCTAACCTCTTCGTTGCTTGCTCGTTGGGGCCACTCGATACGAAGGATTGAACACAAACACTGATGGTCAAATACCTGAGAACGGTTCACATCTTCTACCCTGAGCGGCCAAGTTTCGCTGCCGTAAAGTAATAATACCCTCACTGTTGTCTAATATACGCGATCCCTACGCTTAAGAGAAATTGGGGTGAAACTCTGCTCGATTCACCGCTTATCCAAACCCCGACACAATAGAAGATCTAACAAGGGACGAAGCCAAACGTCGCGTTGAAGACACTACATCAGAATTGGACAAACAGTCTCATTGTTACGCCTTCTGTTATTCGCTAATTTCTTTGTTCTGTATTGCACCAATCACCATACAGTTTATGACTTTGTGTGTGTCGGTATGATCAGCCAGTGAGTGACTATGATTTCTTTAATACTGTTGTACATCCATAAATTTGGCTTCTTGTCTCATGAATATGAACTGCTTATTGCAACTAGTACGAGGACCTCTCCTCATTACTTGCGTGGAAGGTTTCACCCCGAATACGATTTCTAGAGCTGTTCGAAGCCCCTACTTCCGAGTATCACAGAAATACTTCTATGTCGCCATAGGTGTTTCAGATTCGTAAATGCCCCTCTAGCCTTGGAAATACGCGCCTCTGTTTTATTACTTACACCTCCGCCGCCACCACTGATGCAGCTTCCCAGGTATACAAACCGGTCAGCAACCTCCATGATTTCATTATCTAACATTAAACCTACGTACTCACAGCAATCTTGCGGAGGCACTTTGCATTTCCAGGCTGCAAAGCGCATTCCGAAGTATTTAGCAGAACGTGAAATAGCGTTTAGCGTTGTTTGTACCGCTTGAAAGTTGTCTAACAGCAACACTTTGTCGTCAACCTAATCAAGGTCAGTCAGCCTTCCACCAAGTAGGAGGTGCACACATCATCATCATCATAACATCCATGAGCCTGACCAAAAGGTACTGTGGCTCGGGCCGCCGTTCACCTCAACAGTGATAAGCATCATTTGAGTGCCGCAGACAGTCCTCCATTATTTCGTCTGCGACGAAATTGAACAAAAATGGTGAAAGGGGACAGCCTTGATGAACACCGCTCCTGGTGCAGAAACTGCTGACTGAATCGAATCCATCTTCATGGTCAAGAAAAACGGCAATTATTTTCCGGCAATAATTATGAAGCTGCTTCAGGATTTAGCGAAGTGTGATGGTTTGATTGGTATATCCTTGCCCAGAAGGAAACCCTACGTGTTCTTGCTTACTGTCTGCCCCCAAGTTGCAGTGAGTTAAGAGAGTACATCATGGTTGCCAGAACCCTAGTAATGACCGGGGTCGAACTAG